AGTTAAAGGGATAGTTCACTGAAAAATCTAAATTCACTCGTTATCTAGTCACCACTATGCCAATGGAGGGTCTTGTTTGAGTCCACAAAACACTTATTTGTGTTGCAGTCAAATACAATACAACTGAAGTATCTGGTGACTCCTTCAGATGTAATAAAACAACAGAAAAAAACCCACATGTCTCCTTACTGCCCGCGTGGTGTCATCCAAGTGTCTGTAAGCACCGACATTCAAATTAAACTTGAAACAGCATAATTTACACCATGTTTTAAATAATGCCATTTCGAGTTGAATATGAATGTTGTCGCTTCTGGACATTTGGATGACACCACAAGTATGGAGACATTTTATGTTTTTTTTCCGTCTCCATCGCCATAGTGGTGAGTAGATAATGAGGGGATTTTATTTTTGTGGTAAAATATCCCTTTAAGTATAGCTCTTCGTCTTAACATATCATGTCACTAAAGTCTAAAATTGGCTGCTAAAAATGTCTACCCATGGACTGTGGGCCTAGCCCATCTTCGTTCCCATTGTAGCAGCGGCCCGTGTCTCGGCCACAATGGCGTTGACATTGCAGTGGGCCTCAATATTTCTGTGCTGGTCATTGACATGGATGGATTATGCCCAGTGAGAATGGGTTGTTGACCAGTGTCCTAACGGAAAAGATACAGTTAATTCCAAATCATGGTGGAATGTGCAAAATGTTCTTGTAGATGAGCTTAGTTTTTTGAGTGCCACTGACCTCTAAGGCTGCGCGGTTTTGATCACCGCTGGATATAGATGCAGAACTGTTATCAGAGCTGATGGAGAAAAGTTACGAAGAATGTAAAAAGCTTTAACTCAGATATTAATTTAATTTTCTAGTGAATACAAAATAAACAAAATAATCTTCCATACCTTTGTTCCTGAGCTTGGCGCTCTGTGAAAACAAATCCACAGTGTGGACATATGTTGGTCTGCTGTGAAAATACAAATGTATCTATTAGATATATGCCATGATATACATATTTTATAGTCATAACGTTTCGTTGAGAGAGTACAGGTGTTGATTAGACTATTTTTATTTTTGAAGGCTGTGTGCTGCCGATGAATTGTATAGTGCTATGCTAAAAGATTTAGTTTTAGTTTGGTTTGTCTTTGAAAAGATGCAGTATAATCTTTGCCTAAAACCCCTCCAGGAGCTTATAAAGTGGCATTCTCCATGCAGAAAATTCTCAATAGCTTTACACAGTAAAAACCTAAACATAGTTTAACATAGTACTTATTATTCCGCTGAAACCCATCCACTGCACTAGTATACTGAATCAGACAGTCTGAGATTCATTAAAAACACATCTCTAGTTCATGAAAGTATACACAAGTACATTAACAGACTAGGAACACACTCACAATTTGAGTGAACACATGAGAAGTTAGATAAAAGAGAAAATAATCAGAACAACACGCAATATATATAATATGAAAAGCCATAATACTAATCTGACTAAACGAATTATTGATTGGACACATCTTATATTGGTAGTCCATATGGAAAGTATTGGTCTGTTAAAAGAAGTGATTCTAGACTATTTTTAAAGTATTACATGAATTCCATATCTTGGACCCTCTGCGGAGTACACTGAACTGAGATTGGGAAGTACGGGAATAGTAGTTCAAGCTTTCAGTGCAGAATAAAAGCATAGTGAACATATACCCAATTAACTGTCAACTGGCTTAATGATATCTCTGTTTGAAATGCAGATAACTATAGTGATGATGAAGAGTATTAGGGTAATCAATAGCATTCATCACATGTGTCTTATTTCCAGTACATTAAGACAGTTGGTTATTTAACAAATGCTGTGATTAACATAAAGTTATCAGATCCATCCATTTGAGCTAGGTTGCTACACCACTACTTCCAGATTGTTCTTGGATGAGTTCTATGTGGCAGATATACAATATATGTATGATGATGCCTGTTAATCACAAGGTCATTCAATGAGCATCCACACCAGCCTAATTACTACCACCTAACTGTCACTCTGGACTGTTGGTTCTAACTAGCGTAGCTGTGCAGCAGCAGTCTCTGACACTGTACACACGAACACACACACAAATGAAATCATAACAGAAACAAAATATAATTTCTATTTCTTCAACTAAGCAACTGTGGCTATTGGGTTCTTACCAGTGCATTAGGATTTATCTCTGCTGAACACTGGGTACAAGAAAAGTTGTTGGACTGTGTGGGAGAGTCAGCCATTTGTGACTGAAGGAGCAGTTTGTACCGTTCTAAAAAATGTAATCTACTGGATCATATTTATGTATAAGGATTTATTTCTGTGGTTATAAGATAAGATAGAGACTTTAAAGACATTGACGTAATAACAGTGGCTTTAGACTAAAGGACCAATGGAATGTAAAGAAATGCAGATTGAAGTTGATTGGAACCCGCCAAACTGAACAAAGTAGAAGAGGGCCTCAAAGGCGTTCCTTTCCTTTCCATTTGTCCTTTGTAGACAGTAGGTGGCGGTGATGCACTTGATGTTTGATGTCACTCGTCTTTAATCACTCCCATGGATGGCCATCAGTCTCTGACTAGAGTATTCTGTTTTTAAAAGTAAGGTTTTGTACTGTATCACATGGTTCAGCAATCACAATAAATGTTTTTCTTTCCCTGTACCTCGTACCATTCACTGCTCCGCATTGAGAATATCGACCATATGACAGTGTTATTGTTACAAATGTTAGATGTGTATTTTTGATACACAATGCTTAGTTCCATTGAAAATTCAGCTTTTTATAGCAAAATACTTGATAATTTGTAGACGATAATATAGAATAGAATAGAATCACATTTTTGACTCACCAAACTTCGGGGACGCATCAGGCCTGGTGAAAAGAAAGGGTTGCGGCTCAACTGCCTCCTTAAATGAAGCAAATCTGTCAAAAAGTCCTGCAACCAATTTGATTAACGCAAAAGGAAGTCGTCCATTTCGGATTTAGTGGCAATTTTGGCCATTTTACACATTGTGTACTATAATGGTCTCCTCCTGGAGCTTTTATCAGATCAACTTCAAAATCAGTGAGTATTATCTTGACAACATGGAGATTAAAACTACCTCAATTTTTGAGTTTTCGAAACACGGTCGGACCATGGTGTAAAATTTTGATGACTCGCCCTCAAAACACGAGGTTGTTGTATCTCGGACATACATGGTCCAATTGGGCATGTATGACATCTACATAGAAATCATGACTTGCAATCACAGCGCCCCGGATGTCTTACACTGATTGATGATGTAGTCATATTGAAACTGAGTTTTTTTGTCGAACACCATGTTAGAAGCGTGGTGTCAAATTTCAACAAGTGGCCATGACACGAAAATGCTGTAGCATCAGTGTACATTCTTCAATCTCCCTCAAATTGCATTGTGTAACAACAGCCCCCCTCTGAAGACATTTATAGTTTTTCAGAATGGGCATGGCAGAATAGCTGAATAGTGCCCCCTAAAGAGTAGCCCTAGGATCATAATTGACCGATGTACAAAAATCGGTAGGGACATATGTCATTTCATTATGTACAAAAAACTCTCTTGGATTGATATGCTATGCCAAACAGGCAGTCGGCCATTTTGAATTAAGTGACCATTTTTATAATTTACACATATTTGAACGAATTCCTCCTGGAGCTTTCATCAGATCAACTTTAAATTAAATGAGTGTCATCTTAACTCCATGGGGATTAGAGCTACCTTCATTTTTTTAAGTTTATGTCCTATGGTCTATGGTCTGACCGTGGCATGGCGTCATATTTAGATGATTTGCCGAAAAAGAGGGATTTATTATAACTCCTCTGTGCATTGTCCAATCAGCCTCAAACTAACACACGATCATAGTCCTAGCCTGATCAGATCCATATGTCAATAATGACTCATTGTCACAGCGCCACCTGCTGGCAACAGGAAGTGACATGCTTTATACTCGGATGCACTGCTGCCGGCTCTGC